AGCCCCACCCCTTTTACCCTGACCTGTCAATCACTTAAACCCCGCCCCTTTGAGCCCAACCCCCTTTAGGCCACGCCCCTCAAGCCCTTTAAGCCCCACCCCTTTTAAATCTTTAAGCTCCACCCATTTTACCCTCACCTGTCAATCACTTAAGCCCCGCCCCTTAAACCCTCGAAGCTCCACCCCCCTTTTACTCCAACCCTTTCAGCCCCGCCCCTTTTAACCTTTTTAAGCCCCGCCCTCTTTTGTCCTGTCAATCAAACCCCGTCCCTTTAAACCATTCAAGCTCCGCCCCTTTAACCTCCGCCCATTTTACTCGTCAATCAATTAAGCCCCGCCCCTTTAAGCTCCGCCCATCAAAACCTCACCAACATTAAGCCCCTCCCACTTCAAGCCCCGCCCCCACTCCCGTTTCAGCCCCGCCCACTTCAGCGCCGCCATTTTGGTTTTGTGGTTAAGCCCCGCCCCCTTTTCAGAGCTCTGCGCCTCCCATTGGCTGCAGCTGGAGCAGCCCCGCCCCTACGGACCAATCAGGATCAAGCTCCGCCCACCGCGCCAATAAACCACGCCCACGTGACCATATATGGAGTTGGAGAGTTTGTTTTCCCGGGAATTTTTGGGGTGGTTTTAAGGGATTTTTTGGGGAGTTTTGGCGGGAAAATTTTGGCGGGAATTTTGGGGTTTTGGTTTTTCTTTGAGTTTTTGGGAATTTTTTTGGTTTTTAGCGGAATTTTTTGGGAATTTTGGGGTTTTTTAAGGAACTTTTTTGGGATTTTGGGTTTATTTTTTTAGGGAATTTTTGGGAATTTTTGGGTTTATTTTTAGGGAATTTTTGGGAATTTTTAGAGGAATTTTTAGGAGATTTTTTGGGGATTTTTTGGGAATTTTGGGTTTATTTTTATGGGGAATTTTTAGGGAATTTTTGGGAATTTTTAGGGGAATTTTTAGGGGATTTTGGGTTTTTTTAAAAGGGATTTTTGGGGGATTTTTTTTGGATTTTGGATTTATTTTTAAGGGGAATTTTTGGGAATGTTTGGGTTTATTTTTAGGGAATTTTTGGGAATTTTTAGGGGAACTTTTTGGGAATTTTGGGGGGTTTTTAAAAGGGATTTTTTTGGGATTTTTTAGGAATTTTGGGTTAATTTTTAGGTAATTTTTTTTGGATTTTAGGTTTATTTTTAGGGGGAATTTTTGGGAATTTTTATGGGAATTTTTGGGGTTTTTTTAGGGAATTTTCCGGAATTTTTGGGGGATTTTTTTGGGATTTTTTTCGGAATTTTGGGTTTAATTTGAGGGGGAATTTTTGGGAATTTTTAGGGAATTTTTTGGGATTTTGGGTTTATTTTTAGGGGGAATTTTCAGGAATGTTGGGGGTTTTTTTAGGGAATTTTCTGGAATTTTTTGGGGAATTTTTTGGGAATTTTGGGGTTTTTTTAAAAGGGATTTTTGGGGGATTTTTTGGGAATTTTGGGGTCATTTTTAGGGAATTTTTTTTGGATTTTAGGTTTATTTTTAGGGGATTTTTTTGGGATTTTTTGGGAATTTTGGGGTCTTTTTTAAGGGATTTTTTTGGGATTTTGGGTTTATTTTTAGGGGGAATTTTCGGGAATTTTTATGGGAATTTTTGGGGTTTTTTTAGGGAACTTTCCGGAATTTTGGGGGGATTTTTTTGGGATTTTTTTGGGATTTTGGGTTTATTTTTAGGGGGAATTTTCGGGAATTTTTGGGTTTATTTTTAGGGAATTTTTGGGAATTTTTAGGGGAATTTTTAGGGGATTTTTGGGTTTTTTTTAAGAGATTTTTTGGGGATTTTTTGGGGAATTTTTTGGGATTTTGGGTTTATTTTTATGGGGAATTTTTAGGGAATTTTTGGGAATTTTTGGGTGAATTTTTGGGAATTTTTGGTTCATTTTGAGGGAATTTTAGGGAATTTTTAGGGGAATTTTTTGGGAATTTTGGGTTCATTTTTAGGGAGAATTGTTGGGAATTTCAGGTTTATTTTTAAGGGATTTTGGGGAATTTTTTAGGAATTTTGGGTTTATTTTTAGGGGGAATTTTTGGGAATTTTTATGGGAATTTTTGGGTTTATTTTTAGTGAATTTTCCGGTATTTTTAGGGGAACTTTTTGGGATTTTTTTGGGATTTTGGGTTTATTTTTATGGGGAATTTTCGGGAATTTTTGGGTTTATTTTTAGGGAATTTTAGGGAATTTTTAGGGGAATTTTTAGGGGATTTTTTGGGTTTTTTAAAGAGATTTTTAGGGGATTTTTTGGGAATTTTGGGGTCATTTTTAGGGAATTTTTTTTGGATTTTAGGTTTATTTTTAGGGGATTTTTTTGGGATTTTTTGGGAATTTTGGGGTCTTTTTTAAGGGATTTTTTTGGGATTTTGGGTTTATTTTTAGGGGGAATTTTCAGGAATTTTGGGGGTTTTTTTAGGGAATTTTCGGGAATTTTTATGGGAATTTTTGGGGTTTTTTTAGGGAATTTTCCGGAATTTTTAGGGGATTTTTTTGGGATTTTTTTTGGATTTTGGGTTTATTTTTTTAGGGAATTTTTGGGAATTTTTGGGTTTATTTTTAGGGAATTTTTGGGAATTTTTAGGGGAATTTTTAGGGGATTTTTGGGGTTTTTTTAAGAGATTTTTGGGGGATTTTTTGGGAATTTTGGGTTCATTTTTAGGGGGAATTTTTGGGAATTTTTTGGGAATTTTTGGGGTTTTTTTAGGGAATTTTCCGGAATTTTTAGGGGAATTTTTTGGGAATTTTGGGTTCATTTTTAGGGAGAATTGTTGGGAATTTCAGGTTTATTTTTAAGGGATTTTGGGGAATTTTTTAGGAATTTTGGGTTTATTTTTAGGGGGAATTTTGAGGAATTTTTGGATTCATTTTTAGGGAATTTTCCAGAATTTTTAAGGGAATTTTTTGGGAATTTTGGGGGGTTTTTAAAAGGGATTTTTGGGGGATTTTTTAGGAATTTTGGGGTAATTTTTAGGAAATTTTTTGGGATTTTAGGTTTATTTTTAGGGGAATTTTCGGGAATTTTTGGGTTTATTTTTAGGGAATTTTAGGGAATTTTTAGGGGAATTTTTAGGGGATTTTTTGGGTTTTTTAAAGAGATTTTTAGGGGATTTTTTGGGAATTTTGGGGTCATTTTTAGGGAATTTTTTGGGATTTTGGGTTTATTTTTATGGGGAATTTTTGGGAATTTTTATGGGAATTTTTGGGGTTTTTTTGGGATTTTTTTGGGATTTTGGGTTTATTTTTAAGGGGAATTTTCGGGAATTTTTGGGTTTATTTTTAGGGAATTTTTGGGAATTTTTAGGGGAATTTTTAGGGGATTTTTGGGGTTTTTAAAAGGGAT